CCGGTGAGTTCATTCTTCAACCTATAAAAATAACGTGTATTAGAGACTAAGAAGGTCCCTATCCCCGTAATTCGACCCTTGCAAATCCAATGGTGGCATTTTTTTTTGGCTAATTCAACCTGTACAGTGAGATACGATCAAAATAAAGCAACACAGTGTAATAATGGTGATGGAGTATTCTGGCATCATGGGCCTAATGCAAGGGATAAAACTTGTGTTATTTTGTCTCAGGAACACATTGAAATTGTTAGTTTAAATTAAAGCCTTATAAATATCAAAATATGAATTTCACAATATATGTAAAACCAACGATGTTTTTAATGCATGTTTTAGGCACCTTTGATCATCAAGAATGATTGGAACTTACTCTATGATACCTCAGCGATTGATTTGAATGGTCACCTAGCCTTGAGGATAGCTGAAAGATGGATTTCGAGTTCAACCTTTTCCTTGAAAATTTCAATCTCAAAACCCTTGTTTCTTGAGCAGCCTTGCCTGTTTTTTTTTTGTCTGAGTATGTAGTGTACTTATAGGAGAAAAGATTAGGTTAAGAGGTAGGTTTGGACATCATGTGAAACATATCTTTGATTTTGTTTGAAAATAGGTTGAAATATTACAAAACCATGAACATTTGATTCACAAATAGGTCTACATGCTTTGTAGCATGACCTTGGGCCTCCAAAAGATTCAGATCACAAGTCTTTTATGCCTTATTTATTTAATATTTATTTGATTTAATTTTAAATTTAAATTAATAAAAATCAAAATAAATGAAATAAAAATTAAAATGATGCATGAATGTACTTAGAGGTCCTCTAAGGTGTCATTAACATGTTTAGACCTTAAAAGATAGGTTCATTATTCCAAAAATTCAAGTTTGCTCAAATTCAACTTCATGCATTTTCTAAAAATTTCCCAACTTGCATAAATCATATCTCACTCAATTTTTATCATATCAAGATTATCATGGGATTTTTGGAAACCTCAAGATGTCCCCTACAATATTCATGTTGGTCATTTTTTCATTTGAAGACTTTAACTTGATGTAAATTGCTTTGACAAAAAGTGTCTTTTTGTTGACTTTTAAAATGACATGTAATATTTTGGCTCATATCTCTCAAATGAATCATTTTTGGCCTTAAGCTTAGAGAGACAAAGTTGTAGAGAAATAAATTTTATTCAAAATGAATTTTGGTTGAGAAATTTCTGATGAAGTATGTGAAAGTTATGTTTGGTCAAAGTTCAGTTGACTTCTTCTAAGAAAGCCCTAATTTAGTAACTTTTGACTTTTGATGAATCTTGAGTTTTATTGATGAATCATGATCAACCCCTGATCAAATGATGAATGTGACTTCAAAATTTTGATATTGACCAATAATCTAGAAGTTTGACTATAAACTGGTCAAAGATGACTTTTTGCCCAATACAGTTGATTTTCAATCATCTGACTAATTGACTGAGCAAACTTGTGCTGCAAGACTTGCAATTTGGCATGAAGACTCTTTGAGACACATGAGAAACCATGAAATCCAATTTAGACATTAGAAGTCTAATTTCCTTTGAGAAATGAAACCCTAGTTGTAGGTCAACTGCTTAGGAGAAGAGGTTGTCTGGTCAACCCTTGAGTAGTCTTGAGTAATTGAGAACCCTAAGAGTATGAGGTGGTATCTTGAATCAATTTGTCTTGAAAAATGAGAGGGAAAATTTTGGGGTACAACAGGTCGGTTGGAAGTACGCAAAATGCCCTCAGAGCTTAACAGATGGGCAAAATAAAGAAAAGAAAATCAAAAATCAGCGTCACAGGCCAACACGGCCACCCATGTTGGCCTTTTAGATTTTAAGTATCAACTTCAAATCCCAGGGGTTGCAACACGGCCCGTGTTGGGCAACACATTCGTCCATGTTGCACCCCTGACTTTCCTCTTTCTTCACTCGCACATCCTGACGCGGCCCGTGTTGGACAACATGGGTGGCCGTGTCAGACCTCATGTAGGTGGATTTTTACCTTTCTCCAAAACTTCGATTTTTTGCATTTTTTCGCTCTGAATTGTCCTGTTTTATTCCTATGACTCTGAAAACACTAAAACGTGCAACCAAAATATAAAATGCGGTAAAGTGAAATAAAACACTCGTCAATTAAAAGGAACAATAACTAAAATAAATTTTAAATAATGTGTAAAAATCACTTATCAAGTATGTTTGTGTGAACAATTTTGTTGTACTAATGTTTGTTATTGTTGAGTACTTAACAAACAGGTTCTGCTTCTGATGGATGGCGTGGCTAAGACATTAGAAGAGAATTAGTTCTGCTTCTGCACTACATAAGTTCTGTTGAACAGTAGCAAGACACTCCAGAAAGCTCTGAATTGTAAGCTTTGATGTTTGTCTAAAAACCAGTCAGAAGATCTGAAGACAAAAGTTGCTACTTAAGTCCAGATGTTGAAGACTCATGCTTCTGAAGACAACGAGTTCTAAAGAAACAGTTAGAAGATCTGAAGACAAAATTTTCTACTCAAGTCCAGATGCTAAAGACTCAAGTTTTTAAAGACCCAAGGTTCTAAAGATAAGGGTTCTAAAGACCAAGTTCCAAAGACTCTAAAGACAGAAGTTATAAAGATTCTAAAGACTTAAAGTTCAAAAGACCCAAGGTTTCAAGAAAAGGTTCTCACAACCAAGTGCTGAAGACTCTGAAGACGCAGTTCTGAAGACTCTAAAGACTCAAAGTTCTGATGACCTTGTGTTATGTTCTTGCTAATAAACTCATGCTCGCAGAAGCCTCTGAAGCGCAGAAGGAAAGAAGGTAGCGTTAACGTGATACAAATAGTATATGATACAATCAATGTTTCATTCAACTACCATGAAAGGACGGACGCGTCGCACGATCTTGTCCGCCACGTTACTGTTCAAGCTGCCAGTGTTTCTGGAAATTCCAAGAGTACCCTTCAATGAATATATTATTTTATTGGCTATATAAAGGCTTGAAGACTAAGAGAGAAAGCAACCAATCAACGAAATATTCACGCGAAAACGTTGTTCATAGCTTTCATATTCTTAAGTCACTGTTCGTAAAATAGTTTACATATTCAGCTTGTGTAGAAGCAATACCTTTGTAAACAAAACTTGTATTCAAACGGTTGTTTGATTTTCCTTAAGGGACCGAATAGGTCTATATCCTTAAGAAGTCTAGGACTTATGAGTTTTAGAGGTTGTTAGTCACTTGTGGGTAGCTTGTGCATTGTAATAATCAGGTTGATTATTAGTTGATATTCCTTAAGAGATCGAGTAAATTTGTATCCTTAAGAAGTCCTTGACTTGCGAGTCTTATATATTGTTAGTCACTTGTCGGTAGCTTTTGAAAATTGTAATCAGTTTGATTATAGTGAATTAAGTCCTCAATTGAGTGATGCGAAATCAACTTGGCAGGTGGACTAGACTAGCTTGATAATTTTCAAGTGAACTAGTATAAACATACATTGTGTTTTACTTCATGTTCTTACTTATTGTTATTATCAAAAGTGAAGGAAAAAGAATTTTAACTTAAAGGAGAATATTTTTAAAGAAAATTTTTTGTTTTAAAAACTCAATTCAGACCCCATTCCCCCTTTCTTGGGTTTTTTACACCTTCAGTAACCACATGATGGTGTACTTTAATAATATTTTCACACATACTCCATTTATATCTAACTTCATGATTTAGAGGCATTTAATAGAATTAGATGAAGCTTGATTAGAGATCTGAATCACTATCTTCTTTTTTCCTTTAATTTAAGAAAGGTGGAATCCTTATAAAGTAATTGTCTTCTCTTTGAAACTCTTTCAAGATATGATCTTCACAGGAGAGAAAAAATTTCAAGTGACGTGTTTTAGATGACCCTAGTCTTAAATCGTATGGTTTATGTCACTGTTTGCGGTATATGATCTTTAGGATTTATAATGTCTTGAGTTTTTTCTTCACAACTTTCTTTGGTTGTATGTATCTCTCAAAAATACTTGAGAGCTTTTTACTCCTAGAAAAAATATTAATCATCCTAAAATTTCTATTTAATACTTCATCTATCTTTTTTTAATTATAGATTTTTTTATACTTTTTATCTTAATATAATAATGTTCTTTTTAAAATTTCATGTTTATTAATATTTTTTTTATAAAAATATTTCAATATAATTTACTACTAAAAAAAATGTAAATTCTCCTTCTTTTTCTTTTCCTCTCTATACTTTTCTTAATATTCATGAACTTTTTTAAACAATATTATATAGACTAAATTTTCACATGGATATTAATGAATTGATTTTTTTGTTATCTATTGCTTACAATAAATAAATAAAAATATAATATGATATAAATAATATTAAATATAAAAATAATTTAAACATAACATTTATTTAATTTATTGATAGAACCACAAACACGACTTGAAAAGTCACATATATCATATTTATTCTAACAATTTTGATATTATCGATTGAGTGAGAGTTTACGAACAAAATAATATTATTGAGCAGAAATTATATTTATTATTTTTCTTAAAGTCTATTAAAATAACACCAATATCTTTTTTATTTTAAAATATGCACTAATATTCTTTAAATTTAAATATACTAACAAAAATAATTTACTAACAAGCAAAAATCTTAATTATAAATGATATTTACCTAAGTTTGTTGATTGTTACTAAAATCTTCGTAGAGTTAAATTTCCTCTATTATTATTAATTAGTTGACAAATGCATTCAATTCTTTTGTTACAATTAAGACTTGATAGGAGTGTTGTTGAAAAAGCCTTGGTCCTCCCTTGTATAAGATAAGATGCTATTTAATGCATGTTCTTATTTTCTTCGTGTCCCACTCATCTTAATTTCCTAAGTTTTTTATGGATGCAAACGAATTAATGTTATGTTGATTATTAGTATCATTTCATCTATAAATAGAAATTACTCAAATCCTTACATAAAATATCCTCAACCAAAAAATAGAACGCATAAGTTTAAGTTCCTCTAAATGGGGTCCTTTTTTATTGTATTGCATTATTTCAGCTTTCAATTGTTCTTGTTGATGCTGCTTACTCAATTTACTTCCTATACTTTCTCATTATGCAACCATCATGAAAACTCTGCCTTGCTCCAATTCAAGAAATCGTTAATTGATAGTTCTCCCTTTCCTCACAAGATAAAATCTTGGAAAAATGGAACAAATTGTTGCGATTGGGATGGTGTGACGTGCGACGACGTGTCAGGTCACGTAATCGGTCTAGACCTTAATAACAACAATCTGAAAGGTGAACTACATCCCAATAGCACCATTTTCCAGCTCAAATACCTACAAAAACTCAACTTAGCTTTTAATGATTTTTCTGGTTCTTCAATTCATGATGGAATTGGTGATCTAGTGAATCTCACACATCTAAATTTATCAAACACTCAAATCAAAGGTATTATTCCCTCCACAATCTCTCACTTGTCAAAACTAGTATCACTTGATCTTACCACTTACATCCAATACATCCAATACATGGAACTCAAACAAATGACTTGGAAAAAACTCATTCGTAACGCTACTAACTTAAGGGAGATTCGTTTGGATAATGTGGATATGTCATCCATTAGAGAGAGATCTTTGTCATTGCTAATGAATTTGGCATCCACTTTGGTCTTTCTTAGTCTACAAGGAACTGGATTGCAAACAAATTTTCCAATTCGAGTCCTTTCTTTACCGAATCTTCAAGAGTTAGATTTGTCACTAAACAATGATCTTACTGGCAAACTTCCAATTTACAGCAAGAGCATTTCTCTTAGATACTTGGATCTCTCATCAACTGCATTCTCAGGTGAAATTCCTTATTCCATAAGTCATTTAAACTCTCTTACTCACTTAGACCTTTCAAACGACAATTTTGATGGTTTTATTCCTCAATCTTTGTGGAACCTCACTCAGTTATCACATCTCGATCTCTCAAATAATAAATTTTACGGTGAAATTCCATCATCACTTTCAAATCTCACTCATCTCACTCACATGCATCTAGATCGTAATAAACTCAGTGGTTTGATCTCGAATGTGTTCCACATGCTTATCAAATTAGAATATTTAACACTCTCTCATAACAACCTAATCGGACCAATTCCTTCATCATTATTTTATCTAACTCTACTTTCTTATTTAGATTTATCATCTAACAAATTAGTTGGGCCAATTCCAATTGAAATCACAAAACTTTCTAAACTAGGAGTTTTGAGTTTAGCCCATAACATGTTGAATGGAACAATTCCGCCTTGGTGTTATAATTTGCCTTCGTTAACAGGGTTGTACCTCGACCACAATCAACTCACCGGATTCATTGATGAATTCTCAACTTATTCTTTACAAGTTTTATTTCTCTCTAATAACAACTTACAAGGTCATTTTCCAAACTCAATATTTGAACTCCAAAATCTTACTTACTTAGTTTTGTCATCAAACAACTTGAGTGGTATTTTAGACTTTCACAAATTTTCAAAAAATACAAATTTACAAGCCCTCATTCTTTCTCACAATACTTTTCTTTCTATTAATATTACTTCAACTGTTGACACCATCTTACCTAACCTTGGTCGATTATTTTTATCTTCTACAAATATGAATGGTTTTCCTAAACTCTTAGCACAAGTACCAAATTTGGTAGAATTAGATCTCTCTAATAATAAGATTCATGGAAAAATTCCCAAATGGTTTCACAAGAGACTTTTAAACTCGTGGACGGATATTACAAACATTGATCTCAGCTTCAACAAGTTGCAAGGCGATCTTCCAATTCCACCTTATGGAATTCAATACTTTCTACTCTCAAACAACAACTTCACGGGACACATTCCCATGTCATTGTGCAATGCAAGTTCTTTGAATGTACTCAATTTGGCTCGCAACAACTTAATAGGCACGATACCACAATGTTTGGGAACATTTCCTACTCTTTCCGTTTTGGATATTCAAATGAACAACCTCAATGGAAGCATGCCTAGAATATTTTCCAAAGAAAATGCATTTGAGACTATAAAGTTGAATGGAAACAATTTGAAAGGACCATTACCACATTCATTGGCTCACTGTACAAAGCTCGAAGTTTTGGACCTTGGAAACAACAACATAGAGGAAACATTTCCGAATTGGATAGAAACTCTGCAAGAATTACAGGTACTTAGTTTAAGATCAAATAAATTTCATGGTACAATCACTTGTTCTAACAAAAAGCACCCATTTCCAAAGTTAAGAATATATGATGTGTCCGGTAATAACTTTAGTGGCCCCTTGCCAACATCATGCCTTAAAAACTTTCAAGGAATGATGAATGTGAGTGACAATACAACTGTTTTGCGATACATGGGTAAGGCCGATTACTATAATGATTCTATGGAAGTTGTAATGAAAGGTTTTTCTATTGTACTAACGAGGATATTGACTACTTTCACAACTATAGATTTATCATACAACATGTTTGAAGGAGAAATTCCACAAGTCATTGGAGAATTATATTTTCTCAAAGGCCTTAACCTTTCAAACAATAGAATCATAGGTACCATTCCACAATCTTTGAGTAATTTGAGAAATTTGGAGTGGCTGGATCTCTCAAGAAACCAGTTGACGGGCGAGATTCCTACAGCTCTGACAAAACTGAATTTCCTTTCTTTCTTGAACCTTTCACAAAACCATCTTGAAGGAACCATACCAGCGGGTCAACAATTTAATACATTTGGAAATGATTCCTATGAAGGAAATACAATGCTATGTGGATTCCCGTTGTCTAAATCATGCAAAAATAACACTGATCAACCACATTCAACACATGAAGATGCACATAATTTACGTTTTGGCTGGAAACCGGTAATAATAGGATATGCATGTGGCACAATATTTGGGATTCTATTGGGATATAATGTGTTCTTAATTGGAAAGCCCCAATGGCTTGCAAGATTTTTTCAAAGTATGTTTTGCATATGAGTCAAAAGGAGATATAATAGATCATGTGGTCCTTTTTAAATATAGATGTATTTGTTTGTAATTAGTTTAAATTTCTCTGTTTGAATTTTAATACCATTGTTTTTTCTCATTCAAAATGTATTACAAATAAGAAAATTAGTTATCAGTTTCTTTCATGTATTATTTTGCAATCAAATTCGTTTTCAAACCAAATGGGAAAACCCATGAAGCTCACCTATAGTTCTAGAAATTGTAACTAGAGCATTGATGATAGGGCCATATTGAAGGATCTCATAAGCTCACCTATAGTGATTGTGTGATGAAAAAAGAAAGAAAAAAAAGGTTATTGGAATGGTTGTGTGGCAGGAAATACAGGAAAATACTAACAACATAAATTCTTGGACTTGATCGAAAAATAACCCTAATAGTATGAAATAAGATAGAAAGAAAGAGTTAATAAGACTTACATGCAAAACGTAGACGACTTCCAAAATTCTCCGGGATGAAATGACAAAGCTTCTGAGATCATTCGGCTCCAGTACATGTACATTAAAACCAACACATTAAAATCAACAATTATGCTAGCATGGCCATTGAAGGGGTTTGGAATATGAGCTATGTGTATCGTTATGAAGATGGAGATATTGTCGCAATAGCGACTCGGAAGAAAAATGGGTATAACAACCCAATAGCGGCAGAGTGTCAGGCCATCGCAAAATCATTTGATGTTGCGAGAACGATGGGTTTGCAGAAGGTGGAAGTCAACACAGATTGCCAAACGATGGGTTTGCAGAAGGTGGAAGTCAACACAGATTGCCAAACAACCTCTATCAAGCTTCAACCTATTTTGGATATTTTATTGATAATATCTTATTTTATTGCATACATTCCAAATCAGATAATCAGATGTAACAAAAAATAGAGGATTTGATGGAATATGATAGAATAGATTCGATCATGTTTCACTTCACTAGATCCATTATTTGTAAATCCAAACAATGGAATTTTGTTATTTACCACAACATTACATCACATAAAGTCGATCCAAACATACCAATGCCAGTGACACGAAACCAGAAAAATTATAAAATTTTGACAAAAATTTAAAGACCACAAATTCAACCCATTAACTTCATATCAAAATGATAGCGAACACAAATAGCCTGTTATTTTTCTACCTACTAATGCTCACATTATACTACTATGTAACATGTAACTTCTAAATTAAAAACAGTATGAAATAAATACACACTTTGTTTTTCCATATTTTATTGTTCATAAACTGACAGAAAACATAAGCAAAACAGTAGAATGTAACCAAGACAACAATTATATTTTCAGAAAACAAGGAACATCTTCAATGCTTTCTTTCTTAATAAAGAGTGAATTGAGCTTCAAAGTGAATCAGTGAACAATTCTGAATAACAACACAACAACGATTCTGCATCAAAAATCGAGCTTAAAAGTGAAAGAAAAAGAAGAAAAAAAGAACTTGCGATTAACATTTAAGAAGAAGAAGAGAACTTCAAGATCAAAGGCCCTGCAAGCAAGAAATAGAGGCGGAACCAGGTGGTGTATTATTTGGTAAACAGAGTGATGAAAACAATAAATTGTCATTTCTATAGTCAAAAAGTACATCGTTTGTAAAACATGAGAGGAAGGAACCATATGAACTTTCTAAAGAGAGTTACCAAAGCCTTCAAAGTCTACAATAAGGAAACCACAAACAACAAGCATTTTATCTGCTCCAAGTGCAAATAGCCCAGACACTTCAAATCTGAATATGAAACACTAGAAAAAAGGAAACCCAAAAGAAGCAGGTTCAAAGAAATAAAATGGGTCTCATAACCATCCTCGTCTGAGACATCAACAGTCTGAACATAATCTTCATTGTCCTCCCTCTAAGAAAAATCCCTCTTGAGGTGACCATGTTTTTAATAAATGAAGCATTTTAATCTTGACTTATTGTTGCGGCTGTAAAGCGGTAAGTAAAAAGTAAATTATTAATTTATCGGGTGATATATGTTATAATGTATTTTGTCCACAGAGATTAATTATTGATTCGCCGTTCGAAAAATTTCTTATTAATGAATTTGGAGATAAATGGGTTGTATGGAAAAGGTATCAATAGAAAATAAATGTATAAAAAGGAAAAAGAAATAACTTATCAAGCATGCAGATATACTACTTCTCACAGACTTAAACTTATCAACCTATTATACTAGACCTACAATATTCATCAATGTCATCATGTGTCATTTCTAACTCAAATTGAGAGGTCGGCTGCATCACCTCGCTAGCGATCTCTCAACCACCTCAACAACACAGAAGTCAATTGTGCTCACTTGCATCGACGATCTCTCAGAGCAATACAAACAACAGAGGCATTAATCTTAGACACCCTAAATGAATAACATCGCTAAATCTATCTCTAGAATTCATACACTATTAGATAATCATCTTAGATAAGAATCTAAGTAGTATATGTCTATAGCAACTCAAATCCGTAGCACATAGCAAAAATCAAGGATAACAATCGACAAAGATTTGTAAAGCAAGTTTTATATAACGCCAAAGACGACAAATATACATCAGATCAAAGTAAATACATGTACAAACCCAACCAATAGAGAATACACAAAGATAAAGAGAAATGAATCACAAAACTACCGGTTTGTCAGTGTCGATCGAAGAGTAATCCATCCTGGATTATCCGTATGCAAGCTCCATAGTTGTTATCTAAGCTAATCCTAACAAAATTAAAGGTTGATGGAGTTGGGAGCAAAAACTTCCCCAAAACCATAACCTAAAAAATGAATGAAATGAAGTTATAAAAAAAATCTCAACGGCACTAAGTGGGTCTGGCGTGCTAAGCGCGACTTCCTTATTTAACACACTAAACCACCTTAAATCGTGCTAAGCGCGTTATCGGCGTTAAGCGGACTTCAAAATATTGGTTCTGCAAAATTGTCCAAACGCAAGCAGCGCACTAAAAAATGCGTTGAGCGCACTCGCGCTTAGTAGCCTAAGCGCGCTAAGCGGGCTCTCCTGGACAGAATGTCCCAAAACTGGTCTTTTATTCCGAAGACGCGCATCCGGAGTTGTGCCTTCGACACCTTATTCCTCAATGCTCCAAAATGCAACAATTACCTACAAAATGAATGGAAAAATATCAAACGGTACACTATGTGCATAAAAACACAAATAAATATAAACTAAACATATTTACACAAAAGTCGGGTTTATTCAACGATATTCACAATAAAAAATCAATAAGTGCAACAAAAAGTATATACAAAAATAACTACAATTTGCACTTATCACTTATCAAACCTCTTTGATTTGGACATCCATCTACCTTCACTTTCTCCTCTTGAGACACTCAAGCATTCACCATTACCATCAATCTTCAAATCTTTCATCTTTGAAAATTCTTTGGATCACACAGGCATTTGGAGTTCATTAAAAGTAAAGTGCTCAAAGGATATGGGTAATAAGCTCAAAGTATTATCCTCATCATCAATCATCACCTCAATATTTTCTAGATCATCAATGATCTTGTGAAATTCTGTCAACTGCTCCCATATGGATTTGTTCTCTACCATTATTAATAAGTAGAGTTGTTGTTTCAGAAATAACCTATCATCCAAAGACTTGGTCATATACAATGATTCAAGTTTTAACCATATCAAAACCGTAATCTTCTCCCTATCAACTTCCTTTATAACTTTATCTATGAGGCCCAAGATAATGACACTCTTTGCTTTATCTATCCTCACGGTCTTCTCTGATTGTGTTAGTCGTGTAGGCATCGATTCCTCACCCTTCAATGCTTCAATACACTTCTCTTATGTTAAAATTACTCGCATCTTCACTTTCCACAACTCAAAATCACTGTCTCTGTAAAATTTCTAGATCTCTCATTTACCCAAGTTGCTCACTTGTAAATAATACCCTTTTTCCCATGGTGGGTGCCACTTGTTGATAAATTTAAAGGTACAAACAATCAATGAATTTGATGTGTAGGGACAAAGAACAATGACAACCAAAATAAACGTCCTTCGAAAAAATAACTCTCACTACTACAAATAATACATTTAGTGACAAAACTTTTACCTCAGCCAACAAAAAACTAAGGTATAATGCCAAGGAGCTCCATGCTTTATTTGTTTTAAAAAATAAAACCACACATTTCATCAGTTTTTTAATATAACCAAGGTGAAAAATAATTCAGGACACGCTTCGAATCACAGCTATTGCAATTTATGTTTTTATTTCTTTATAAGTGTAAAGAAAATGATATATCCGTTTGATTTCCTTAAAAACTGACAGATAAAATAATCAGATTTTAATATATAAACACTCTTTAAACAAATTTTATCCAAGACTTAACTTATATGCAGTTGTCTCAAACTCGTATGTATCATTATTTAGGATAGATTACAAGATAGAAAAAATCTTCAATGTTATGTGTTCTTCTACCTTGAATGAAATATTTTTTTCTTCCTTTACGATCTATCTCACACAATGATGTTGATGTTGTTGTTATTGTATTTTTGGAATAACCTTTGTTATACGGTGGGAGAACTGACTTTACTTGTTTTGCGTTTTATCACAAATGTTGTGGTTAGCAAGAGTCGCCACCGACTTTTCTTTTATCCAACAAAGGAAAGGGTGAAAAGAATAGGAAAGACCTTTTTAAAGATTTTGAGTTCGGGGGGTAAGTTATGGAAAGGGAAGGTATTAGTACCCTTTTCATCTGTAGTTATCTACAGGCTCTTAGTTGCTAGCTCACTTTAAAAATGCTTTGTGTGTGTGTTTGAAAATATTTTTGAAAAGATGCCTTAGTGCGGTGAACTTTGTAATTTTTCTCATATCGTTGAGAACGTATACAAAGTCTTTTGTCTTTAAAATATTTAGAAAGAGAGTGTATGTGTGAAAAATTGTTTTGTTTGTTTTTGTGAGCAAGCAACTATGAATTGTCTACCTACTCGAACGGTTTTGTTTTTTTCCTCATTTCCTTTAGATAGTGTTATCCTACTATTAGTTAGTAGGTAGCCCTATCGTTAGATGTTTTGAGGTACAAACGAGAGTCATCGTACAATCACGAAGACAACTCGTAAGATACTTTAGCAATTACCCTAAGGTGTTAAGATTATTTACCGAGGTAACATTAAAAGGGTCATCGAGAGACTTATGATCTTACAACCAAAGGGTCACTGCTAAAATCTCTTACGTTCGAGAGACATGACTGTTTTATTCCGAAGGCAACAAGTGGAGGTACCTTAGAGGTGTGCGTGTGCGGGTGTGTTGTGTTTCAGTTATTTATATTTGGATGTTAGTTTTGCTAGCGTTTGCTTTTAGTCTTATCATATAATCCTAATAGCATTCATCTAACAGTTAATATCAGTATGAAAAAATAAAGTGCGGTATTTGAATCTACACTATTACATGGCTTCGGGATGGGGGAATTACAAACCAAAATGGAGAAATAAAAAGTAAAGGTCCTAATTAAAACGATTACATCCTTTATGGAGTTACATAATTCAAAATAAAAAAGTGAAACTAAATAAGCGCGCGAAGATTGAAGCGAGGTCAAAACCCTAAAAAAAACTCCTAAATGTTTAAGAAAAATATTTTTTGTTTTTTTGTTGTTTTTTGTTGTTTAAAAAAAATTAATGAAGTGATTAATAAGAAATTAAAATCTAATCATTTCTAATTTATTAAGAAAATTAAGTTAATGATAATAATTTTAAAAAAAAACTAATGTCTAATTAATTTTAATTAATAAAACTAAGATTAATTTTTTTGTGTTTTAATTAAATAAAATAGATAATTTGAATATAAATAAGAGCAATAAAAAAACTTTGGGCCAGATTTGGAAGAAAATTGGGGGGTGCGGTTTGAAAATTCGCTTGGCCCAAATGAGAACTACGCCCAACAATTGTGCTGGATTTGGTGTGAACCATCATTGGAGATACATGGTGGGAACGCGTTCTTGGGCAGCTGGATCTGCTTACATTAGCATCTAATGACCCAGACCTGAGGCACGTGGCACACGTGTGAACCTACATAACACCGGATCTACAAAGAAAATGTAAGAGAAATAAAATTGAAAACCTGGGGATCGAACCCAGGTTCTCCATTCTTACAAATGCGCTCTTCACCACCAGGCTAATCTGTTCGTTCGTTATTTAAAACAACAAGATAATATTATATATTAAACTCATTCATTTTTATTTCAAACAAAAAAACGTGCACATTGGGATTTGAATGGAACAGTGAGGGAACGACACGCCTGTTACCGGAGTCCACCCACCAGAGTCAACTTTCTGGTTGTCTTCTCTGGTGGATTCCAAACCTAAACCTGCAAAACAACCACAATTAAGGATCCAAAACGACCCTACCCCCCTTTAAAAATTGTCCTGAGTCCGAATATGGGCTTAAAATAAGCAACCAGCCCCTGTATCACACAGTTCGAACACCATTTCCAGGCCGTTCCCTAACAATGGAATCTTATGATTCATGCGTTGAAAGTCAACAGAAAAGGTTCTAAATCATCCCTAGCATCAACATGAATTTGTATGGGTGCTTAAAAACAATTTCTGACGTGAAAAATTAAAGATTTAAAATCAAGATTTTATACCAAACCAGAGTGATGTGATTCA